CCCGTGGGGATTACAATTGAGATGAAAAAAAAAATGTGAAAAATGATGTAAAAATAAACTTTTTAATAATAAAAAAAAAAACTTACATCCTTCCATTGTTATTTTTTATACATCATCTTTCACCATTTTTTCATCCTTGCCCACCAACTCAATAAGCAGAAGTCTTTTCAAAAACTTTCTCCTGAGTACAGTTGCTTTAAGTTTCCTTTCTTCTTTCATTCTTATATTTCTCAACCTTTTCAGGCATTTGCTTCTTTTAGATGCATACAATACGCTGTTTAATTAGTGGCTTAAAACTGCCCTTATTTCTGCTCATTCTTTCTAGTATAATTTTATTTAAAATCCAAGTTTATATGCATAAAGTGAAAACAGGATAACCTTAGATTTCTACAGTAAGATTTTGGAAGCATCACAGGAAGAAATTCAGTTTCTGACAACAACACTGTCCAAGGCTAGACCCTTCCAGACTTGGAACATAATAGGTAGTCACTCATTGTAAATAGACCTCTCTCCATTTTTAATGAATGTAGGGCAGGGAATAAAACAATTAGCCATTCTGTCAATGAAGTAAGAAAATGGTGGTGGGGGCGGGAGTTATACTATTGCTAGTCTTTATGAAAATCTATTGCTTTTTCTAAAGTACATGAATTAATAAAGGACAGTAGTTATATCTATCAGCAAATTTTAAGAGGAACCACAGCATATATGTTGTCCTGACCCACTGACAACCAAAAGTTTGTTCTTTCGAAACTTTCTAAAATTAAACTATTCTCTTCAGTCTCTGCTTCCTATCACCATGCTGCTATTCCACCATTCTCAAATGATTTTTATAATGTAATGGACTAGTATTTTAGTCTAACAAATATGCTAGGATCTGTTTATAGGACACCATGGAAGGAGAGGGCAGGGCTATCGCTACAGCAGAGGATGCATTCCTTACTGTGAATGGTTTCAATGTCACTGCAATTAATGAGGACCTAGACATATTTTAAGACGAAGCCAAAGCTATGCAGGGCAGTGGGACAAGGAATGCTACTCACCCTGCATCAAAGAAAGGGTTTGGGGAAGGAGAGACTAAAGTGGGATCTATTCATTAGGAGCAACGAACAGATTTGGATAGGGAAAAACAAGAGAATGGGAAAAAGCACAATCCAGAGATTAAAAGGGGATTGCGTGCTGTCTGCAAATAAGTACATGAAACACAGGAAGAAGGTGAATTAAGCATATTAAGGTAGAGCTTTTCTAAGTTGGTCAAGAGTTTTTACTTTATCTTGGAAAAGTAAAAAGCAAATGAAGTCTCTGAACACAGGAGTGAAAAAATTAGATTAGCATTTTAGGAGAAAATTTAGACTAAACATGTTTTTTAAAAAAAAAGGTTTTTTTAAGAATTTCATATAGCCTAGATCTGGGGAGGTGGAGGTGAGTAATGGATGGAGACACATAAAAGACAGGACAGGAAATAGTGGTTCTAGAAAGAAATAGAATCAAGAAGTACTGGTAATTGATGAGGTATAAATAGAATAAGAGAGACTAGATCAAAAGATTAAAATTTAAGTAAAAATAAATGACAGCTTCAAAGGAGATAGATATTTTTTTTAAATATTTATTTATGCATACAAACTGAGGTACAGGCTAGAGGTGGGGGAGGGGTGAGAGATTCACCGTAGACAGAGTGGGAAGTAGAATAGGCAGATGGACTGAAATACACTGCTGAGAAGAGCAGTGGGTGGATCAGGAGAGGTGTGCACGCCATGTGGGTCAGCTCCCGGGCTGGGGATTGAACTCCTGCTGCAGTGGCTGCGATAGATTCACAGTGCTGTGCTTTAATCTGTTGTGTCACCAGGGAGGACCCAGGAAATAGATTTTTATTATTCATTTAAATGATGTCAGGTCACAAAATGAGTTACTCATAAAAATATTAAGTATTTTAACCTCTTAATTAAAAATCATAGACATATACAAAGGAACTTTTCTTAAAGATTTCAAAACTTGGTCCAAGGACAATGGAATGATTTAAAGTAGATGTTAACTGAAGAAAAAAATTTAAAAACCTAACCCAAACTGCATTTTTTTTTCCACTTTTGTGCACAGGCATGCTATGCTTTTGCCTAGCAGGCTTATAATCTGCTATTTATAGGGATATAAAACCCAACTCCAGCTGTACCCATAGGCTCCCTCTGAGCTGTTCTATAATGTGATGCTTCCTTCCATTTCCCCCAGATCTGCTGGAAAAATATACTTGAAGGGTTCCCATGGTCAGATAAGGAGTCCACAGGCCACCACAGAAAAGAATCCTGCCCATGTCACAGAATTATATAGGGAGGCACATAGCTCACGTGCATTCCGCCTTCACAAATGCCTAGACAACTCCTGAGCAAAGTAACTGGCCTGATCATTTACCACAACTTCTAGTTAGTTACTACTCATCTTTTACAATCACTGAAGTTAGCATCAAATGTTGGACTAATTCAGCATCAGAACAGCTGAAGTCATTTTGATTCTGAATCAACTGTCACATTCAGATATAGATTTCCAGCTTCTTTGGCAAAAAATAGTGTCTCCTACCTTCCCACAGGACAACTGGGAGAATTGAGAGAAAGTACCCACTTTGCTCAGTGCAGCATGTGGTCTTCAAATGCCAGTCACACCTTAGTTGCTTTGGATTTTTACCTTCTCTCCCCTTATGATTCTGTTCTTTTCTTTTCTCATCATTAAAACTTACCTAGCTTGCATTCCAACTGAGCAGGGACAGGTCTCTGCGCAAAGACTAAATTAGTAATCCATTAAACTAGTTGATGCTAAACTGTAGGATCAGGTTAACTCCTTGGTTTAAGCCTTTGGAGAAGAATGTTGCAAAGAAACAAGAATGAGAGAAGAATGCTTCCTGATGGCTCCTTTTTCAGAACCTGCAGAGGATGAGAACATACCCTATAGATTTCTTCAAGCAGCAGCTTAGCACAGTTCCTGCCAAGGTCCTCTGGAAGCACTGCTGCTCCTTGGCCCTGAGGGTTGGAAGCCAGTTCAGCACTGAGGAAAGTGCCATTAGTGGTCTCAGCAACCAGGGATAACCCAAAGCCTGGAGACCTGAGGACACAAAGGCACAGGTATTCAATAGGGATAATGAAGTAGGGTTCACATCACCACATAAGAGAAAACAAACATCTTTCTGACAACATTTTGTCTAGTAACATCAAACTTTATTAGTTTGTTTTGTGGTAAGGGGATTGAGAGAAATGGGATGGATAGGTTAGTAGCAGCTGTCTAAACTGCTAATAACACTTTGGCCACTAGCTCTACCAAAATATGGCCAGGAATGAAGCAAAGCAGGTCTCAAGGCTATGCTGCCCACAGCTACAGTGTGATGTTTTATAATGTCATTAACCAGGCCCTAAAGTTAATGTCACTAACTTATCCCAAAGCCCACACTGGAAATATACAAAATACAATGAGTAGTACACACATGGCAAAATGCAACTTTGCATTGCTTTTCCTATTGGTTTCCCCAACCCCTTCCCTCTCAAACTCCTCCTCCACTTTCAAAAGATCTTGCCTTGAGAATTTTTAACAATCAACACACATAACATTAACAAGGATTCTCAGATATCCAGCACATATTTTGTGCAGGTTTCTGAGCTCGGAGCTTTGATGCTACAACTCTGCTGGATAAGTATCATCCACATTTTACAAATGAGAAAATGGAGAATTTAACCAACTATGTCCACACAGCTAGACAGTGATGGAGACACATTTCAAACACAAGCCTTCCAGACTCACTCAGTCCTCACTCACAAGCAATTCAGAAGGTATAAGCAAGCCTGGATTACAGCTGATTACAGCTCTTGAGAACATCAGCCATTGTTTCCTCTTAAAAACTACTACAGAAGCCAGAAATGCCTTAATCAGCACACCTTTATGTTTTTGTCCCTAAAAAATAGCTCTAAACTCAGATTTAATATAATCAATGAACTGGTGCCACATTCTGTTTTGTTTCTACCACCCAACTGCCAGAACTTAACACCTCCTATCTGGAACCACAGTTGATTCATTCACTCGTGCATCCAACAAACATTTGGGGAGAAGTACACAGGGTGTCAAGGAATTGGGAGCACTCTGGTAAACCACAAGTTTTCTTGACCATTCAGAGTTTAGTGACAACCAGTTTGACACAAAACAAAATAAGTTCATAAGCAATTTGAAACAGTGGTTATACTTTGCCGAGTGTCTTTTAAGTAAATGTGTCACAGGAAAGGGGGGGGCAGCCCCTCCAGCAATAAGTCTGTATGCAATTGCAATACAGAACCCACCTCCTTTAACAATTCAACACATGTATTTATGAAGCACTTTTTATGTGTCCAGCACAAAACTAGGCAAGATATGTTTCAGAAAAACCAAGTATAATATTAGTGCAGCCTCAAATGTACTAAATAAGCTCACTTTACAGAAGAACTATAATGGTCAATCATTAATTTCTTTAAAAATGATTGGAATTGTATACTGGTTTTACATATGATTTTTTAAACTGGACGCTGAAGTTAAAGACCCACACTGCCCTGTGTCTAAATCCATGTATGAAATTCCAACTCACGATCAGCAAGTATGAGATCAGGCCACTCACTAGGATCAGCCTGGTTAGTGACATTATAAAACATCACACTGTAGCTGGGGGCAGCATAGTCTTGAGACCTGCTTTGCTTCATTCCTGGCCATGTTTTGGTAGAGCTAGTGGCCAAAGTGTTATTAGCACTTCAGACAGCTGCTACTAACCTATCCATCCCATTTCTCTTAATCCCCTTACCCCAGAAAATAGATGACATGTAATTCCAGACCTGTGGCAAAGAAGGAAAGAGGAAAGAAAGAACAGTATCAGTAGCTGCCATTTCCATAACATCTATTATGTGCCAGGCATTTCATCAGGGGTTTACCTTTTTTCATCTGTAACCTAGGGATATAGGTGTTATCAGTCCCATGAAAGGAAAAAGAAAAAAACTGGTGACATCTGAGTAATACACAAAAAATTTGGGACCATCACTGACCTTTCCAACTCCCAGAAGAAAGGGCCAGCTCTCTATCCATACTTTCCCAACTCTACCCTCTGACGCCACCACATTTTTGCTTTGGGACTACAATGCTGTGGGGTCTTCATGAAGCTCAAGGGAAAGATGAAGGTAAGTTAAAAAATACAGTATTTTTAAAAATACAGTATTTTTTAACTTACCTTCATCTTTCCCTTGAGCTTCATGAAGACCCCACAACATTCTCAGCCCACCTTAACTCCTTCTTTACTTAAGTCAAAGTTAGGAAATCTTAGATGGAACAACAATGAAAAAGAATGAGCTATGGTACTAGTTAAAAGGCTGGTTTCTTAACTACAATACTCAATCTAGATTCTTGATTCTTACTTTTAAGTGACACAACTTGAAAATTTCAGGAATGAAGTCTAAAAAATGTAATGATACCACCATGATTATTGAAATGGTTTAGCAAAACCAAAACCAAACACATACTAATAAAACAAATTTGGCAAAACACTACCTGTAGTAGCAATACACAGATATTTACTGTATTATCAACAATTCTGAATGTTTAACATTTTCATAATAAAAAACTTGGTTTTCAGAGACACTTTACAGGGGTGGGAAGGGGAATAGTATGAAAACTGGGGTGGGAAGAGAACACGGGACTATGGTTAAGTGATGGTGTGAAGTCCACGAGATGAAAAAATGCACAAAATGACAATGCAAAAAATAAATAGATATAATGGTTTTTTGGTTTTGTTGGGTTTTTTTTTTTGGCTTGTTTTTACGAAGAATTTAACCAAACCAAGTTGAAATCTGTGGTAACAACTTTCTTTGGCTCTGGTGATGGTGTTCCCTTAATGGAGAAAGAAATCGACTGACACTTAGACCAAGAGAGGATTTTTCTCACTAAATATTATTTGCTCAGGGTTGAAGAACTTGTTTTGTATGTGCACGTGTGTAAGTGCAGATGGGATTTAAAGTTCAAGATATTGTTTATTAATAACTAGGCTTTCACTCCCCTGGGCTAGGAACTAGACTCCTCTGCTCCCAGCACTGGCCACTGTGATGTTTTCCATATGATGGGCACTCAAAAGATGCCTGCTGCTGAAAACACCAGTTAGTCAGAAAGAAATGAGTTCTGAAATCATTCTTCCCCTGGCTACCCAACCTCAGAGCTGGCAGCATTACTGTCATTCAGAACAGTAGTATGAAAATACCTAGGGCAGCTTCAGAATCAGGCTCCAAAAACACAAACACTTACTTCCCAGAGTTGACTCCTTTCATGTGGTCTGTGTAAATATAGATATCAGGTATAAACTTGTTAAGGATGCTCCTTGCAGAATCCACAATCCGGTTTGCCATCTGAGGTGACACACGTACAGAATACCTGCAACCTGAAGTTAAGGATGGCATTCTACTCCGGCTCCAGAACAAAGAAAAGTCGGTAATAAAGCTAGCAAATACTCTGGAACTGTAATAACAAACTAGGACTTCTAATTTCAGAGTATTTTCCAACTATATATAATTTATAGTAACACAACCTAATTTTTTATCACTTTTATTACTATATAATTTTTATAATGTTATTTTAAAAGGCTAAAATGCTCTGGTTAAAATAATTTCAAACAATATGGAGAACTGGAAAGCCTAAAAAAATTCCAAATCTGCTTCTAGACTTCCAGCTAATAACCTCCCCTAGAAATGGCTCAACTCAATTTTGGGACAAGAAAAGACAACTCCCTTGCTGTACAACAATAGCCAGGTTCCCTGTGAAGTATCCTCTGACCACCCTCACTGCTATACCCTTTCTTTTCAGGACCTAAGGAAAGGTCAGTCACTATCCTGGGGCTGACCTGGGTCAATGCCAAGCATAACATAGCTGCTGTTTATAAAGACTGAAAAAGGTTTGTATTGTTTTTAAACTTACAGAGCCTATTTTCAGTTACTTAAATATCAATTACCCATTTTGTCAATGATACAGGTTTCCACACTTGGTATTTATGGTTATAGTACTGATAACTAGCAGTTTTACAACACAGCACACCCGGGAAGCAAAAAGGGAAGATTTTGGTAACTCAAACGCAAAGGCTAGTATTTGAGGAAGTGGAAACTAGTAGCTTAAATTAGATTTGAATGCAGAGACTTGCTGTCCCCAAACTCAAATCAAATTTAAAAATATGTACTGAGTATACTTTCAATGTGCAACATACAGTCAAGAGCTGCCTCTATATGTGAGATGAAAAGCTATAGAAACAGAGAGATAACATGTGATCTCCCACTACCCGACACAAACCCTATGGGGTTTCCAAAATTTCCAACAGGGAAAATAAAGGATATGGCATGCCCATTCCCGCACACAAAAATTACTTTCAGTAACACAATTTCCATTTGAACTAGAGAAACAAAAAGCTCAGAGACTATGCAAAGAACTTAACACCATCTGTTCCCTTTTATGATCTATCCTGAATGCTCCACTATAAAAACAATCTTCCTCAATGAGAATCCCCCCCCCCCCAGTAAATTTAAGCTTTCCCAGATCTCACTATCAAAATTCCTCAGCTTGTTCCATATTCGCCTTCAACCTGGCACCATCATACCCCTACACTCCCAAATTGTCCAAATTCTTCAACCTGAACTGCCTTCATTATTCCAGCCCAAGGTCCCCTTCTCTCTTGAAACCCTCTGGCCAGTACCCAACTGTGGTCACTAATTGAACTTACCAGATATCTTCCTTCATATGCACACATTTGTTCTTGCTCTTCAACAAGACCACACACTCCACAAGAGAAAGAACTCTATTTCTATATACCTCAGCATACTAATACACTAGTTTTGTACTCAGAAATATTTGACAAATATTTGACTTGACTAAAAGGACAAACTTGAAATGAGGAAAGAGCAAAGAGGGATTTTTCAATACACACACAGAGTCCCGTTACATCACCACCTCTTCAGCCCAGAATGTACTTTTGACCACAGGCATCTCAGACAAACAGTCCCGGATCTCATACCCTTTGGACCTGGGGGATGATGTTCTCTGAAGCTGCCCACTCTTCCAGGCAAGCACAGCTTTCCTTCCTTAACACATAATCCTATAGCATTCCTGGCTCCCAAAGTTCTTTCAGAAATAGTATCATCTTATTTTATATTTCAGTAACTCTGTGGCAAGGGTCACAGATTCTTGCTTCCAGAACTCACACTGAGGACAAGATTTAAGATTAAAGTTAAATAGATCTAGATTCACAAAGACAACTTCTTCCCCTAAAGTATCCAGAGATACGGAAACCAAAAGGTAATAGTTGCCTACTCGAGGCCAGTGAGACCTATGCTAGAATTCTGGCAGTGAAATCAAAAAAAAAGGAAAGGAGCTTTAAAGTCAGCTACATGTCAAGAGTCACCACAGAGCCATCTGGCTTGGAAAGGAGGCCATACCAAGGAATGACTAAGAGCTCTAGAGCCAGACTGCCCACCTTCAAATGCCAGATCTAGCAAAGTATATCATTCTGATCCCATGTGCTGCATGCAGTACTTCTGTGCCTCCACTTCCTTATCAGTAAGAGGAGGATAATCATAATACTCTCATCAGGGTCTGGAAGCTCAAATGAAGTAATGCATATAAAGCACTCTGTGCCTGGTATGTGGCAAAAGTCCAGTGTATGTCAGCTATTGCTTTTCTTACTGTTAGTTCAACATTCAAATCCAAAATAGTTCCCTATCCTTTTGGAAATCAGGGTACCTCTAGGAATGTGATAAAAGCTAGGAAACTAATAAGAAGCACACACCCCCTACTGCAGATAACTTCCGAGGAAGGGGGAACGTGTACCTCCTGGGGCCCATTTATGAACACCACATGAAGAACTCTTTCCAAGAAAGATTCATAATTACCATCCATAAGAAGCTCCCACATCCTTGTCCCTTCCTGTTTTCAAGGTCAGAGAAGCTAAGAAAACTATGTATATGTGAGAGGTAGGGAATGGGGGAGAGACAGATTCTCTAACCACCTTCCTCTATGTTGGAGAAAGGCAACTAAATTGTCCCCAAAACTACAACTTTCCCATCTTCTGCTTCTACCACAAGCTTTTTCTTTTAGTTCTTATATACCAAATCATCAAGCTACTGGGATAGCATCACAAAAATCAAACACTGTTCCTTTCTCATCCTGCATCAGGAAAGTAGAAGAAGAGAATGGGTGGCATTTAACAAATTAAACCTGTCAAATTCAGCTACTAGCAGGAATCAACATCAGCTTCCTCCATGCCCCTCTCAGAGGGCAAAGATGCACTTTGGGTGTGACTTAGTTAAAACCACACACACACAAACACACACACACACACACATGAGTAGAGCTAGTTCTCCCAACCTGATCCCTCCTATGGGGAATATAACCTCAAGCTCAGCCCAACAGTGGTTTTAAAACACACACACACATACACACACACACACACACACACACACAACCAGCTAAAACTTTTTCCAAAGGATTTATTTTATCCCAGGCTCCAAAAGAAGGTTGGATCTCAATTCAAACCCACATTCATTGGAGGTGTTTATAAAGTGGGCAGTTCTGTCAGTGGCTAGAACATTTGGTTTGCAGACAGGGATCTGAGACCGGTGCTGCAACAATTCTCCTCAGGAGTTCAGAGAAAAGCTATATAAACAGAGGTATAATGAGGAGGATAGGGTGTCCTACCCCACCTCAAGAAAGGGAAGCAACTCAGGACTTCACCAGTCTTTCTGGCTCAGATTCCACATGGAAAGTGTCAAAGAACATCAAAGAGAAGGCAGAGAGGAACAAAGTCACACCACAGGTGCCTGGGGCACCGCAGTTCTCTTAGCTCTCACAGTCTCATCCATAAAACCCCAGGGGCTTTCCCGGTGTGGTCACCAAAGCCCTCCTTAGGAGGTTTTGTGCACCCAGTACAGAGTGCAGGAGGGATCCCGTAGGACAGCCTTGTCACATACACGTTGTTACCACAAGACTTTGCCAAAATACATGCTGGAATCACATTTCCAGACTAGAGGGAATAGATTATAAGCAGAGTTTATAATGGCTCTATACTGCCATTATAGAGCATTAAGAAAATAAATCTCAAATGAGAATAAACAAATTGAAATAGTCCTGGCAGTGAGGTAGAATTTCAGGTACAAGGCACAATATTTGTGGAAATAGTGAAAAACAAGAAAATTCAATGACCATCTAAGGGGAAAGCCGTGCAAAGAATAGGCCACACAGTGTTTTATGGTATAAATTCCTGTTTTTGATCCTTAAAAGAACTTCAAGCAGCAGTGTTAAGTTTGATCTTTTAAAAAATATTTATTTATTTATGTATACAGAACTGGGGTACAGGCTAGAGGTGCAGGGGGGGGTGAGAGGATTCACCAGAGATAGGGTGGGGAGCAGAACAGACAGACTGACAAAATACACTGCTGAGGGGGGCATTGGGCAGGCCAAGAGAGGTCTGCTGCGCCATGTGGATCACCTCCCATGTGCATCACCTCCGCGGCCAGGGATCCGACTCACACTGAAGCGGCTGCAGCTCACTTGCAGTGCTAAGTCCTAACCCATTGCGCAACTTGGGAGGGTCTGTAAATTTTATCTTTTTATCCCAACGACAGCTCTCTCTAGCTGGTGACTGTGAGGAATACCATTTTCACTTACTGTTAATAAGCTCATTTGGGTCTCTGAAAAGTTAGTTCATTGCACACTTCTTTTCATCCAAGTAAAACATCCCACGCCCCCTGAGGAATGCAAGGCTTGACCTTAAGGACCTTCCCTATGCCTGAGAAGAGTCTTCCTACTTTTATCAAGCTTCCCTTTCACCCTAAGAAAGTCATTCCCCAAATTCATGAAGTACACTGGTGCCCAACACTTGCCCTTTCCCAGATCTTGTGAGCACACAGAATCTTACCATTTTTAACATATGAACCCCCAAAGCACAGTTTCCTAAACACAATTGCTTGTTGCTTCCACACAGCACACATATCGACTTTCACTAGACTGAATCTTTATAACCCTTAAGGTTGCTAAGGTGTCCCCTGACCACCTGGTTTCCTGACCAGGAAGCCCCTAAGACATTAGTAGTAAGGAGCACACTGGTTGTCATTCACCAATACTCCCTCCAATGCAGACCTGCACCTACTTACCCAGTCATTCCATAACCTGGATAAAACTGACCCTCCTGTTGTCTCTACTCCTCCCTCTTGCTGCCAACTGCTACTATACACAGCTGGCACCAAGATACAATTTCAGCCTCAGCTGAGCCCTTACTGTTCCACAGCCTTTTTCATTCCTTGGCTTACTACACCTAACTGTATTCACCACCCTTGTTTGTCCATCTGCCTACCCTGCTCCCCACTCTGTCTCTGGTGAATACTCTCACCATCCCTGCACCACTTGCCTGTACCCCAGTTCTTGTATGCATAAACAAATATTTTTTTAAAAATTTTAATTCCTCCCAACCCCCTTCAAATGTGATATTTACTTACAATAGAACACTATCTAACCTTTAAAAAAGGTAATATCACAAACAGGTAGAACCTATGACACCATACTAAGTAAAATCAGTCAGACACAGGAGAACAAACATTATATGCAGCCATTTGCTGAGTTAATTGAAAGAATCAATTTAGCCATGAGGCAAACAATAAGGCATCATATCTCCACCAATAATTACAATTTCATTGTCGATCATTTTCCAAGATTTTCCAAGATTATTGCCTAAAATGTAAAATAACCCTAAGATGTAGAGTTGTTATGAGTCATTCTTAGTACAGGAAGAAAAAAATAAGAAATCTTATCCAAATTCAAAGGATACGCCATTCCTCTGATTCGTTTGATTTTTCCTGGATCTGTGAGTTGAACAGGCTTCAGGAACTTTCTTACAGGACATGAGAAGAACACCTCACCTCCTCCCCCAGGAGGCATTCCCCGTCGCACAATCTATACATATGATGAGAAAGAAGAGATGAGGATATGGCAAAAAGTGGATTATCCTGACACCCAGTCTAATATGGTTTACACTAAAGGACTCTTCTTTAAAAGACAGGTAGCTCTTTCACATTCAACTTATCAATCCCTTTGAGCTCAACACCACCTATGTTAGTTCCAACAGGGCAGTGCAGAGCAAGGTCACCATATGGTGTGTCAAAAAGAGGAGTAGACCAGTAGATCCTAGTCAAATTTCAGCCAGATTATTTTTCCATCAGGACCTGTTTTTTCATCCTTAATATGAAGAACTGGACTATTTCATCAGCCGATTCCTTTTCTTAAATTTCAGGAATCCTTTTCTCCTCCTGTGCATAAAATTGATGTATCAATTCCATTAAATTGAAATAAAGGCACTTCCCCTTATTTAAAAAATATCAATGTAATAAAAAAAAGGTCAGATGCCAGATATCTTAAGATATCAAGTGTCATCGCACTGGATTGACATGATTTCTTTCAACAGCAAACTAACAGATGCTCAGGTTACTCCTACTAGGTCTTAAAAATACTGGAAAATTCTAAGAAGCATCCACAATACAAGTCCCGAGTCATAAATTATGTCCAAATGATCTAAATCAGAGAGTCAATATGCCAAAATCCTGGCTCCTCTACTTATTAACTGAGTGACAGACGTAGTTGTTAACAGAGCAAATATATGTACAATACTTACAACAGTGCCCACCACAAAGTTAACAGTTGGCTACTACTATTATGATGAAAGAGTCCCTTTTTCAGCTCAAAACCTGTAACACGTGGCTCACAAGTTCTGTGGATCTTCCCATAAAAGTCAACTTCAAATGTGACACACACTATGTGATAGGGCTCTTCCCAGGAGTCACAAGAAAATACTTTACATGGATATACACAGCAAAGAATTCACACCTTCTTACCTTTAGCTCAAAGGATTCACCGTCAATCCCAAACTGTTTCAAAAGAGGAAGGGCTGTTGCCTTAAGAACATCAACCTGTAGAAATATTTCAGGGAAAAAAAGTTAGTTAAAACTTTGTAAGAAAACTTTTTAAGGAAAAAAAAAAAGAGCCTATGAAGCAGGCTGAGGCTTAGCAACAGGTAAACAGAGGAACGACACTGGCTTTCAAGTGAGGTGGGCCTACTCTGCTCCCAAGAAAGACTGATTTTACAAGCCATGTGGCCTTTATGATGTGGAGACCTTAGAAGTCATTTTGAGCATCACAGGCATCCTACAAAAAGAACTTAGAAATTCCCGGACTAATAAAGAAAATGAAATGGGGCTTCTATTCATTCTTACAGACATAAACTTTATGGAAGAAAATATCAGCCCTTTTTATTCATCTTTTTCCAACAGGTTACTTGACATTTAAAGATGATGGCACTCAAAGCCAAAGCAAATCAAAGGCAAATGAACTAGTTCAAAGGCTACCTAAGAATCTTACTGATGCCCACCACACAGGCAGTTAAAGGTAGGTGATGCTTCTACAAGAAGTGTGGGTCCATGGCAGAATGAGAGCCTTAATAAAGCAGTGCAAACCCCAAACTCAAGTGACAGCACCCACAAGTAATAACAAAACTGTGCCAAGACCATTATTGTAATCTCTCCATTCAGAGATCCTAAAAGGCCGGGATTTCTTTCTTACTCACCTGTGCATTCCTCATAGAATGTAATGATAATAAAATCACATTTACCTAACACCTCAGTGAATGTAACCTCAAAGGAAACATGGAAAAGAAAATTACTCCCTTACTTATTCCCAGTGGAATAAGTACCATAAGTACCAAGCTTGTACAGAGAATGACCCTAGCAGAAGGCAGTGAGGGCAGTTCAAGCAGACGATGCAGGGAAAAGCCCTGGTCCTGATTCAGGCTCTGTCTGGCTGGGCTCAGACAACAAAATCCTAATCTCTAAGGAGCTCAGTCTTCTGCAAGTCTTGAAGTTTTCTACCAACTCTCACACGCTGAGTTCAAAAAAGTGCTATTACAACAAGGCTTTATAGTAGAGAACAGGATCCAACTAAATATCCTGTAACACAAAATTAATCAGAAGTGGGAAAAAAAAAGACCTATGGGACCTAGAATCATATTTAGAATGGACCAACTGAGGCAGAAATGATTACAGGGACAACCCATGAAACATTAGCTGATTTCAATTAAATATTAAAGCTAAACATACCCCACAACTTAAAACATGCAATTGGGATTGCCGGAACCAAAAACAATTCAGCTACGCTAGAAATTAAGGATGGTTAGGAAAAGGCCAAGACAGATTCCTGGAAAAAGTGGGGGAGGGAGAGGCTAGGATGTGGGTTACTCTGCCTGTAAGACTCCTAGAACTTGGTAGCCACCAGCTCTTCTGGGGAAAGAAAAGCAAGAAAACAACAGACCTCTGACTCATTCTACCTATACATGGAGTCATAAAACTTACTTTAAGGTTATCTGTTATCTCTTCTCCATTCAAAGCTCCAAGGAGACCTGGGGTCTTTCTTACTCATTCTGAATTCCTCAAATAGTGTAAGGATGACATTCAAATTACATTTATCTACCAAGTCAGTGTACTCTGCACACTAGTTTTACCAAAGTGGGAATGATCTCCAAGTTTTGCTATGAAAAACACAATCTTCACTCAGCAGTTAGAAACAGCCAAAGTCTGATCCAAGCACCCTGGCATATAGCTCCCTAACACCTCAGTAAATCAATCAATAGAAGAAATGTGATCAAATTCATGCCAAATAGAAAAGGGGAAGAAGCTGCTGAGTTATTTTGCCTAAAACTGTGACAGGAACACTCACCTCCCAGTTTTGGTACAAGAATTAAATAGATACGGATGTGACATGTGTACACTTAGCACCCAGCACACTTACATGCTTTATGGTACTTTATTTCCTAGTCTTTGCTCAACCTGTGTCTCTTGTATATGTACTGCAAGGATATTACTCTCCTAATGGTCAATGAAGTTTCTCACTGCAGTTTCTCCCAGCATGATTCAAACTCAATTCCTGTAAAGACCAATACTGTGAGTCATCCCTGGCTTCTTAGATTTGTCTTACTTGGCTTCTCCAAATATTTAATATTTGTACTCCTCAGTCACTATCTTCCATTCACAAGTTAAACACTGATTTCCTTCTTTTTTTCTTCTATTCTCAGTCCCTGGGGCCAAAGGCAAAACTTCTAAAGCCCACAGGGTCCAGAAAGGGAACTGTTATGGGAATGATCAGTTAGCTGAGACCTGTATCCAACTGGCCCTACTCAAAGAATGCTATTCAGCTCCAAACACTGTCTGCTATAGATGTACAGTGTTACAAAGTTAGCACATCAACCCACAATAACGTAAAATCTGGGGTTTTAAACATGAACAAATAATTCAGATACACATATGACCATCACACCCTATACATCCAGAGGGAAAAGACATGTAGGATTTCCAGTCAAATAACATGTAGGATTTCAGACTCTGTTCAACCTCAGAGTCTCACAGAATTAAGTATCCTGGTGTTACCTCTGGGATTACAGACAACATATACCAACTGCCAAATGATCATCCCCATGTCCATATTGTGTTGACCCAGGGAACAGAAACAAAGTCAAACACATCACCCTTCACATTACTGCAATTTTTCTCCTCCCCCTGTCAAATTCTTTCTGATCACTATCCTTCAAGTCAACCAGGACAAAAATCATAGAGTTCTTTATGATGGCTCCCTAGCCTAGCTCCAAAGAGTTGTCAAGTTATGAAGTCTCTCCCTCCAAACTATCCTAATATCTGTCCATTCCATTCCTTCCATCTCCATGATATTCAAATTAGTTGACACCTCTCCAACCCATCCCTGTCTAGGCCTCCACAGTTATCTTCCTAAAATCCAGAGTGACTTTATGGTTTTCCATCCTCTAGAAAACTCAACCTTCAGCACTTTGTATTCCTGTCAGAAGCCAGAGGCATCCTGCTATGGGGACAGCCACTCACCCCAATGAGACCAAATTCCCTAAAAGCAGAACTTAATCCTTGTGGGCAGAGAAGATGAAGACATGAATTGATGGGGAAACCATCAAAATGGTTTAAGAGAAAGCTCAAAATGAAGAAGTTACAGACAGTAAAGTTACTCTTTATCCAGTACTAGGTGTGTTTATTGTACCGTAGGCTACAGTCAGGTACTTTGCAAAGTCATTTTAATCATGCAGCAAGCAAAAGCATATATGGTCTTGCAATATGTGAAAATTAAATTTAGTTTCAATATTCTGCGTAGTTAGCACTTTTTCTGGGGAATTGTCAATGTTGATACTTAAAACATTGATAGTGTTAGTAGTTTGTTTGTTTGTTTTTAAGATTTATTTATTTATGCATACAGACTGGGGTACAGGCCAGAGGTGCAAGGGCGGTGAGAGGTTTCACCAGAGACAGAGTGGGAAGCAGGATAGGCAGATTAACAAAGTACACTGCTGAGGGGAGCAGCAGACAAGACAGGAGAGTCTGCTGTGCCATGTGGATCACCTCCTGGGCTTTGGATCGAACTCACACTGAAGCTGCTGCAGTGAGCTTGCAGTGCTATGTCCTAACCTACTGCGCCACCAGAGAGGGTCAGTGTTACTAGTTTTAAAGATCATTAACCACTATAGAAAAAGAGTACAAAACTGGACACAAACAGTGCCGCCAAGTCTTCTGTATGTGTCAGAACCTATCTCCTTTCCCCACTTTCAAACTGAAAGCATAGGGGCACTCTCATACTTTAAGTGAAGGGTGTATTTCATAAAATCTCCCCCAAAATGCAAGAATAAAGGCAATCATTTCTAATTAGTCGAAATTTCGTTCAGCTTTATGCAACATTACTTTACAGCTAAGAATTTTAGATCTTTCACAATACTCAGGATCCTAAAAAAAAGTTCTTGTACCTGAATTCCCAAGAATTGAGGAGTACGTTGTCTAATGCTTAAAGAACACATTAACTGTGTTTATACCTTAGCTGGTGCCTTGTGAATACCAGCAATCTCCATTTTGGGGCTCACTATCCCACCTGCTTCCCTGGCTGGGAAAGCTATACACTTCACATTCTGCCTTAGAAGATGCTCTTTCATTGGTCCTGGACCGCTGACTACTGAGATAAAGACAAGCATCCTCAGTATAGGACAACTTTCTCTCTCTCTCTCTCTCTCTCTCTCTCTCTCTCTCACACACACACACACACACACACACACACACACACACACACAAACCCATCCTACATTGGCTCTAATAAAGCCACAGTGACCTAAATATTAAACTCCCTATAAAAATAGGCAAATTTTATTAGCATGTTAATAAGCTTGTTGGAGCCTACAAACTATCACATATATGTTTCCTGCCTTTATGCCCTTTTTTAAATTTGCAAAATTCTCAGAAGAAGGTCCTCATATTTATGGTTGAGATTATGCTGTAGCAATAACAGGAAAATATTATTTTCTGCCTAAAATGTTGGCCTGCTGCCTCAGCTATCACATGACCTTACATAAACTCTGCTCTCACACACTTTAGACAACAAAGCCATCTTTCATGTCAAGTCTAATGAGACTGTAGACATCTGTTCTGAAGGTTCTTATATACAACAATGGAAGACACCTTGGGGATGTTAACAACTGTCACTAAATTTGGTAATTAAATGTCTTGGGTCACCTCTCTCCTTGAATGGAAACCTCTAAATCCCAAGGTACCACACAAGAAATATACCCAACAATACAATACAGCTGTGCCTTATCAGGTGTTTGTCTGCAATAGCTAGGTTGTGACAAAAGACAAAAAAATAAAAAAAAAATAGCATACCATTTGGCCTTACTACTCACCGAAGGGTCAACCTGGTCATTGGTCACTCCTCGTAGGACTATTTTTAATGGGTACTTCATAAATGGAGCCAGACAAAGAAGACTCTCCAGGTAATATCCAATACTGCGAAGGATACTACAGTCATGTTCCACAGATCCACCATACAGAAGACCAGGCTGATAATATAAAGTCGTTCCTTATACCGGAGGAAAAGAGAAGTAAGTCAGCAGAACAAAATAACCATGTGTCATAAAGGCAACAAAGGCAGTGAGTCCCAAAAAGTCTAATAAGGTCATCCAAGAGAACTCAAACTGCCATTTCTAAGAGCCTATATACATCACTCTAAATACTTATTCATTACTGACAAGTCTCTGTAACCATAATAAATTGTGAATGTAATTTAATAAATAGTAATAAATTAAACCACTCCCAAAGCCATCTGAAATGCCAAAGTTATGGCAGGGCACAGGAAAGTCTAACAAAACCTTGATCTCCCAACAGCACACTCTTACACTGGGCTGATGAGGAATTTAGAAATGAGGTTCTGAAGTCACCATACCAGCAACTAACTTCTAGGCCCCTGAAATAGGATTTCCCACAATTATCACGAAACAAGATGCCCACAGGTGGCAAGTACTCTAAGGCAATTAACTCCACTAACAAAAGCTATTTTAATGATAAAAAAAATGGAAATATGGCCCTCCCTGGTGGCACAGCTGGTTAAAGCACAGCACTGAGAATCTAAAGCCGCTTCCTCATGAGTTCGATTCCCGCCTGCCCCGGAGGTGACCACATGGCATGGCAGACCTCTCCTGACCCGCCCGCTGCTCCCCTCAGCAGTGCATTTCGTTGATCTGCCTGTTCTGCACTCCACTCTGTCTCTGGTGAATTCTCTCACCCTCCACATCTCTGGCCTGTATCCCAGTTCTGTATGCACAAATAAAATAAAATCTTTAAAAAAAAAATGGAAATATGTAAAATTATTTAACAGCCTTAGTGGTAACTTACTTATTGTTCACCCTTTCACATACTCATGTAATCTAAAAAGTTTCTTCCTAGATTTACATGTTGAAGGGAAAACAAATAAAATATATTAATGATTTGAGGGGGTACAAAGGGTTGAAAAAGAGTTTCTGCTACTCAGAACCTTTTGCCAAAGGCACAATTTACCAATAAATTTCACATTAGTGGAAAGAGATATGTTCAATCACTCAAAAGAAAAGTAGCTCTTGGGTATTTTATAGAGTAAAGGTAGAACTATATTAAAAAACAAAATTAATAGTTATATCAGAACAGGATTCTGACTAAGCAGAAAGATTCTACACCAGTTATTTGAAACACTATTAGAGTCACAAAACCAATTCTTAGATCAAAAAGCCAAAAAAAAAAAAAAAAAAATTTAAACTGCAAATTTGCTGATGCTTACAAATTAATCAAATGAGAAACTGACCAGTTCACTAGTATAGGAGATTTCTACTTAGGGTGTGTTGTTTGTGTGTGTGTATGCATTCAAGCACATGCATTGGTTTTGGTAGAGATATGAGGTAATTCCCAACTTAACGAAGTGATTAGGAAAGAGTAGAACCATCAGTCCTCCAGTCACCAATAAAAATTGTTGGAAAAGTCTTACAATTTCAAAATAAGCCAAAGTATACAAGGGAATCTTGACATGCAAAAGCCATCTGAATGTCTCATACTTGAGTTGATGCTGCTACAAATGACCAAGTAGAGTAGGTCAGTTTTGATACAAAGCTCATGGTCTTAAGAGGGCCAATATCTGGGGTACTAGTGTTTCCTTTGTTGACTATATATACAAAGGTACATAATTCATGAGTTAGCCATGGTGTTATATATAGTCGTCACTAACATTATGGGTAGATTCACCATTTCATTCAACTTTAGTCAGGACATATATTTTTTTCTTTTTTTTCAACATAGTGAAAAGAGGTTGAATAAACAGACTTATTCCATGACCTACTGCACAGGATAGATACAAAAGTTTCTAACAGAAAAAAAAAAGCTAGAAATAACCTACATGATTCTTGATAAGGAAGCAGTTAAATAAATTACCATGTATTCAAACAACAGAACATGATGTAAGGTCCACTAAAATACATGCATGTGCCAGCAGAGAAAGTTCTCTGAGATATTTGTGCTAGTGAAAAAGGAGTTGGCTGCAAAACAGTACTAAGAGCATGATCCTAGTGATTTTTGGGATACAAAAATGCCTGTGTAAACACACACTCCTGGCTGTGTCCCTAGCTAGGGAAGGGAATGGAGGAAGAAACAGGTGAAGATACAGTCATGTTTTTTGTATATATTTTTGTAAACTTAACTTAAAAGACAAAAATAAAACAATAAAATTCAGTACACAAAACTACCTCACAGAATTTCTTATAAGATTTCACTGTAACAATATAAGTAAATAAACTTTGAAAAGCTAAACATAAATATTAGGTATAAAATACTTTTATTATCTAAAAAATCTGAAATTTTCATTCTTCTAACTTCCTTAAAGCAAGGGTATGCCAACTTCATTGGCAAATTTCATGTACATCTCCCAAGCAATAGTATCAGAGGAAGGAAACTGGGTATTGCCATCTGAATATAATATTTATCCCATAGAAAGGGGAAGCTGAGAAATATTTAAGTTATACAAGAAAGTGCTTTTAGGAATGGGATGAAAAGGAGAAATTACCTGTTTGGTTTATTTCAATTCGAGAACCATTAGTTATTTTGTCCAATAGCCTTATGAAGCTGGCTTCAAAATCTGTGGAGAAAAGGCAAAACAGATAGATTGGCCTTATGTTAGGTGATCATTTCCAGAGATCACTTACCCAGGTGCTACAGTGGAGGGCAGGTTACATAACACATCACTCTTAAGATTCTTCCTCATATTCTGGGTGGGATCACTGGTTGAGGAACTGAAGCAGCTAACTAGCGACTAGCATGTATACATTTAGTAGAACTATTAGAAATAATTCAGCTTTCACAATCTATAAAAATTAACAGCTGTGTGAGCAGCATAGATATGAACTTCAATACCATCATCCACATAAAGACCTGTTCTTCTGCATAATGAACAAATGCCAAATAAGGGAGAAAAAGACAGAGAATAGGGAAGAGGTTCAAAGCCAAAATCTTACTTCTTCCAAAATATCTTAAGAAGACAGATTAAATTGAGGACTAGAGAGTCTCAGAGTCAATAAGAACTCCTTGTGTCTTCCATTCAACAAATTTTCCCTTCCTTTTTTTCTATTGATACCAACTCACTAACCTACATCTATAACCAATTCCATTTGTTTCTACCATTATAAAGGTATGTGAATGTACAGTATTATCACTCCTTTTAAAAATGCATAAAAAATAGGGCCCTCTCTGATG